AATTATTAGATGAACCTTGATTTAATCTTGATTTAAGATGAATCCTTATCAGTGCAACCCACCCTTAAACTGTAAAAAAATAATATATGTCCGGAGTCATCAGTCAAAAAGTCAAAATATAAAAAGCAAAGTGTCTGTTTTAGAAGAAGAGAGAAGGTTGCAGGCCATGTCATGCTCACAAAATGTCTATTAAACTCAGAATGGCAGCTTGTCCTTAAGCAACCTCTGAGCTACATCAGCTCAGTTCTTTCTGTCCTAAGGGGGCCATTGGCTCATGTCACTTGTGAGTTCTGAATTGCCCTCTTGCATCAACGTCCAAAAGAGGTTCATCTCTCATTGCTTTAAAGCACATTATCCACACACCCGCTAAAACATGCTCCACACTGCTTTAAGACCTCTATCCCATTCTGTATTCCACTGCACTCGTTACATATTTTACCATGTATATGAGCTAGATTATTCTTTTTGACCATTGCGCTTGTGTTTTGTGGCGTTTGCAGGGTCTCACTCATGATGCGGTGTACTAAAAATATTCGAAATTTAGAATTTTAAAATGCGTGTCTCTACGTTTTTTTCCCCATTGCACTGTACTGTGTTTGGAGTTTTTAAAAACAAAAACGCATTCTGCGTAAAAGGCCCATAAGTCTGTCTCATAAGAACTGCCTCTGGTCTGTAATTGTTTCAGTGTAATTACAGTAATTTTTTGTTCTTTTGTCACATCACAATATCTATTGCAATAAAGGAAGTGAGATAATGTATAGGCTCAAATGCATTTCTTTTCTTGAATTCCCCAGAATGCTCAGTTTAAATGCCTCCCAGTGAAAGGACCTGCACCTCCTTGGCTGGTGCGTAAACTTATTGCACTATTTATTTTTTAATGTGTATTACTTATCCTAAGATGATACTTTCCCAGGTTTGTGGTAAGGGCGTTTCATTAATTGACGTAAAAACGTCATGTGCTTATGTGTAATATTTATCAAAGAGGGTGATGGCGAACTCTTATATTTCACTGTTTGTTGTATTGAAATGACAAAAAAGAAATGCTGAAAAGCTTGTTTTATTTTGTTTAATGCTGTGGTTGTACTCTATATTGCCTTTAGCTGGATATGAAATATTTATCACCTTTGCTGCTGGCTTATGAGGACCATCTGAATGCCAAAGACAAACTCCTCAAGTCCTGTGAGGTGAGTTTGTGTGTGTGTCTGTGATAGAAGGGGGAAGTTAAATTCACTTTACTCTTATTACATATTTTAATGTTTGCATGCAAGAATAAAAAAAAGAAATTGACAATCGAAAGTGTGATTTAAATAACAATGGCATAATTATGCTTGCTTTGATCTGTGACTTTTGTTTTGGCAATTTAAAGATACTGGAAGGGTAAAAATTATCACTTTATTGTGATGATTGATTTTTTTTTTTTAAATGTAACGTGTGAAGTCATCTATTGACTACTGTATATTGAGTATTTTGTCAATTGCTGGTGTTTTATATTAATATGCACTTTTTTACCAATGAGAGATGCCAACACTAGCCTGTCAGTCTTGTAATAATGAGAGAGACAAGTTTTTGTTGCAGGAAAACTAATTTATCATAGGATCTGTGTAATGATAACTTTCTAATAGTTTCTGTCTTTGACTCTGACTTTGCCTCACTCGCTCGATCTATGTCTCTCTAACTCTTTCTAAAACACTTGCAGTGCATCCAACACTTCCACCACACTTATCTGCCTTGAATTTAAAGATCTTACCTGTTAAAGTCACGTTTTATGTTTTAATGGGACAGATACTCTTTTTTTCTCTCTCTCAGTAGTCTAGGGTTGATTAATCACATTCATAGATATATAATTAAGTATGTTTGAAGACAAAGACATATTCAGACAAAAAGGCCACAATACAAAATGTCCTAGATTCTTCTGGAATTCTTCATTCTTGTGTCAAGCTGTTGTTTTGAGAGCTTGCTAAGCATCGGTTTGGTGAGGAGTTTTTTTTTTTGTATTGTGCATTTGTGCTGAACTTTCAGTAGATCTCTGGGTGAGGTGAATATATTTGCAAATGCAACAGAGGACATTCATGCATACAAATAACCTTTAGTAGTTTAGCAGGTTGTGTTTTTTTTCCCATGGCAATATAAATGTAGCCTATGTTTTCTCCTGACAGGACGAACTACAGAGTCTCAGAGCGCGTGCAGAGGAGGTCATTCAGGAAAACGAGAAACTTCATGCTCAGGTTAACAAAAGCAGCACTGTCAGCAACAAAGAATGGTGAGTTTGGGCTTGTTTCTCTATGATGTAATGTAAAAGTGAGTGTATGCGTTTGTTTTTTTGTGCCGAGGAATGAAATATTCAATAGACTTATGCTGACATTCCCTCAGAGAATTATATTTAAAAGAAATATGTAAAAAGGAAAAATGTCCAGGGGAATTCAGTAATCATGAGGGTGAAAACAAAAACAGGGCATCTTATCCTTGAGATATGCCTCTGCTAGCCATGCTTTTATTACAGGACTGATAATGTCCCATGGTCCTGTTTGATTATGGCTGACAGTCATGGGGCTGAAGTTGAGACTAAGAGTGAGGATGTGTCAAAAGGACACCAGGCAGGAATGCTGTTTTTGTCAAACAGCGACTCCTAGAGTAACTGTGGAGTATTTGTTTTTAACGTTACTGTCGTTAATACCACTCACGGAGAGCGTGACATGTGTTTAATTTGTCGTTTAATGAGATCTAATGTATGTTGTTAGTGGTGAGAATTTTCACGTGATTAAATACATATCCCCATGAACTATAATGGTCCAGAGGAAGAACTTTTGCCATGCGTGTCACAGGTTCTGGGTTCTTCTAATCCCTACTAATAGTATAGTTTATTTTCCTCATTAAAACCGATTGTTTATTAGTGGCTGTATTTCAAGCAGGGACATGTTTTTTTGTGCATTGGGTTTTTTGATTTCAACGTAATGAGTCTCAGTCCCCGCAACGCATTGAGCCGTTTGTCCGTTTGAAGACAGTGTGCGTCCCACTCCCAACAGAACACTGAATCCACTGAAACTGATCGCAGCCGCAACGCGCTTTGGTCACTTGATTTCAAAAACAACACATTTTAGATCGCCTCTTATTTAACAAACAAAATAAATGAATCTACTAGAGTTACCTGGAGATGATTTATTTGTTTGTATTGGTACATCCGTGCTGCGAGATGTTTCAATATCACACCCGCAAATTACGCCTATGCTCGTGTCTGACTCCTCGCTCGGTCAGTCTGCTGTTTCCTCTTTCTCTGTTCCTCCGACAATGCTTTCCTAGCTGTATCTTATATGCCGGCTCAGCCATGACGATAGTGTGACAAACTCCATCCCTCTCGACCTCGTTCCTGGATATGTGCAGTGTTGCCGTAAAGGAATATGTTGCATCGCGAGAGCTGATATCACGCGATACTTCCTGATGCTGAGGCCGGCAGCTCGCCGCACCGAAACTGCAAGTGAGATTTTTCCGCTCACAGGCACCAGGGGGGGTCGAGACGCCCACCATTCAACCTGAAAGAAGTCATATAGCCGTTTCAATAACTCTGAAGCTGTTAAATTAAACTAAAATAACTGCATAGTGTCCCTTTAACACAGATTAAGGATATGTGTTATTTATAGGGTTGAAAACTAAGAAATAAATATCTGATATTCTGTTAACAGTTGCTGCAGATGCATTCTTCCACCTATGCGAATGGAACAGTGGGACGTTTTTGTACGTACATAGAGTTAGGGTAGGGCATCGTTTTGATTTGAATGATTCTGATTCAGATTCTTCCTTTAGATTTCTGTTCTTCACGATTCTCGATTTCGATTCTTTGAGGGGTGGAGTCAAAACATGTCACAGGCTCATTTCACAGAGGAACATTTTATTTTGATTCAATAATGAGTTTTAGTTTTGGGAGCTGCAGCCTATGTGGGAGAAAATTAGGGATGCCTCTGCACCAGACCAAAAAACAGATATGCAGAACTTGCACCCTGGTCTGGACTCTCTGGACATGTATAAACACTCGTGTGGGGAATTTGCATAACGCTACATTCATCTACGAGGCAAAAAATAATTTCAGTAACGTTGTTGTTGTTGTTCACCACAATTAGCAATTTGGTCAAGCACTGTTACACTACAATCACTTACCTGATTGTGACGAGGTAACGTTAATAACGTTGGTTAGCGCTGGGTTGCCGAGGAGGACGAGACAGTGGACCTGCAGCACGTCAAACACGCTACACTCCTTGTTAATTTGTACACCATGCAGGCGTAGGTGTAATTTGCGGGTGGGGTTTTCATTGATATTGTCCTCACCAAAAACATCTCGTGTAATGGATGTACCAAGTAAATAAATCATCTTCAATCATCATCATCAATTTCATTATTTTGTTAAATAAAATGTGACCTAACGTGATCTAACTAGATCTATAGTGTTGTTTTTTAAATCAAGTGATCAAAGTGCTCGTTGCCACTGCTATCAGTGGTGCGGGTACAGTGTTCTCTTATGGCCCGCGTCTTCTCTCGGACGCACACTTCAATCTGTCACTGAGACTAATTCGTTCCAGTGAAATCACAAAACATATTGCACACTGACGTTTCCTGGCTTGATAAACAACCGTTTATGAACATATTGGGTTTTGATGAGAAAAAAAAAAAACTATACAAGTGCGGATTAGAACCCAGAACCTGTTACATGTGTGGCAAAAATTCTGTCACTGGCCCAATTACATACACATGCAAAACCGTATATGTATATTTATTCAAGTGAAATGAAAATCACTGTGCCGACCCAGGCTTTTTTAAGGTGAAATAAAGCCACACTTTTGCGCGCCGCTTACCATGCTCCACAGCTGCCACAGAACAAGCAGGCAAGGCAAGCACTTCCAGAAATCCGTTGGCCACTGTGGACCAAAACTTGCGCGTTTGGAACCAATGATCGGAATCAAAAACAGGTTCTGCGAAAGTATTCAGTGCAACCAGTGCAGTGTGACCGATTCCGGTTCTTTTTAGTGAATTATGTACAGCTTACAATTTACTGTGTTATGTCAAAACTGTTTACAAGACAGTTGACAAGAAATGAAAATTCTCCCATTCGTCTGTTTTCTGAATGCATGTTATTGGTCATATTGTGATAAACTCATCAATACGTTGGTGTATGAATGAGTGAGTGAATGGGTGAATGTGAGGCAAATGTAAAGCGCTTTGGTGACCATTGGGTCTATGAAAGCGCTATATAAATGCAGTCCATTTGCTATTTACCAATGCATGTACTTTCATTTCATCTCGACTTTAAAGAATTATCCGCACAAACATACTTCCCCTTTTTTCTCCTTCAGGTTGTTATGGGTTGTTTTTAAAGCATGTTTTAGGTCTATGTTGCCATGGGAACAGTGTTTGCATCAGTATGTCAGACATACAGTAAAATTTCAGCTTGATACAAATACGAATTGTGGTTGGTGAATGTGAAGAATAGTCTTTTCTGCATTGTTAAATGGGAATGTCAAAATAAAAATGAAAAGATAATACAGCACTGCACTACTTTTTCAACAATACTTATTTGCTGTCTCTGAGCCATTTAAATCGTGCCATTGAGCTGAAGAATTTGTGCATGTGTTTGTGTTAACTAATTATTTTGTATGTCCTAGAGTGGTTTTAGTTTTTGTCTTTAGCTGTATTAATTGCCAGCTGTTCACAGTCATCTTCGTCAGTGAAGGATCTCTGGTGCCTGTTGCCAACCTCACTGTTCATTCAAACTCTCACACAGGTGTGTGTGTGTGTGTTTTTGCTTTGTGTAGGAGGCAACTGCAGGAGCAGGCTCGCTTGGTGCTGGAGGAGAATCAAGTGTTGATAGAGCAATTGGAACTACAGCATGCCAAAGCTAAAGAAGCCCACAGCAAACATACACAGGAAGGTATGGTATAAACTCCTAATTCATCTCAGCAAGCAATAGCCATCATTTCACCGTGTCCGGCTATGAGTAACCCACTTCTAGCAAAAATAAATTTAATTTGGTTACATGTTGTTTGTGCCAAAATATCTTGTGAGATGTATGATATTCCATCATGTAAGCAAAGTAGAGCCAGACCGATATATCGGCAGACCGATATTATCAGCCGATATTAGGCATTTTCCAAACTATCGATATCGGCAGTTATAATGGCCGATAAATGAATATTTCAAAAATAAAATAAAAACGGACGAAACACGCTTGAACCATGTCATGATTGTTGGAGTTGTATAGTTTGTCCACCATAGGGCACCGTTCCTGTTGGCAACACTTGTTGAGTTGGTCACGATACATACATTGCTTGAATAACAATTAAAAGATCAGTTCTCTATCAGTTCTCTTAACTCAAATAAGCATGGCAAAATTTGTGACTATCATGTCCAGTTTCAAATAAATAAATAAAATATCGGCCGATATATCGGAATATCGGATTTTAAAACCCAAAAATATTTGTATCGGTATCGGCCTTCAAAATCCTTTACCGGTCGGGCTCTAAAGCAAAGTAAACGGTGATTACAAGGTGTTTGGTTTTAGGGCTGTGTTTGGACGGCTATTAGACGTCTTTTAAATGCTAAATTGCTTGCTGGGATACCTCTTAATACTCTCTGATTTTTTACCTTTTTTCCTTGCCTCCTAAGAGTCACAAAAAAGCATCTTGTCTGAGTTTGAGGGGTGTAGTCTAATAGCAGATGCTCTCTCAAATGACAACAGCTGCTTATCAAAGCTGTTAATACAACAAAAAACAGCTCAAAATTAATGCTGTGGATTTCAGATACAGTTACTACTATGATATTTTTATGTAATGGAGAATATTTTATTGGAAAAGTTAACTTTTTTGCAGCTCCATATTAAGTCCAAATTAAAATCTCTTGACTTTTGTTAGCAGACTTTGGTATCTTGGTAAATGATGAACAATATATGACATTGTTGACATATCTGAGAAATTTAGGAGATCTCATTAGTGATGTTTCTTAATATTGAACCTGTGTCTTCTTCACCATATTCCTTACTATATTTATTCAGCATATTGAACACGTATTATTCATATAGACTGAAATATAAAGCACCTCTATGTTTGTGTGTAGTGTGTAAGGTTTTGAAACAGGTGATGTTGTTGGAGTCAGAGAAACAGGCTCTGGAAAAAGAGCTAGAGGTGGAGTGTAAAGAACACCGTGCCCTGAAGACAGAGTTTCAACGAGTGCGCTTGGCTCTAGAACACTCTCTGAGCTTGGTTGAGCACAATGCTGTGACTGACAAATTTAAAAGGTACCAAAATCATGCATTTCATGTTAATGAAATAAGTCTGGATGGCAAAAGCTTTGAATAAAAACAAACAGACAGAAAAGGATCAAGGAGAGTAATTAATTGCTATTTTTGATCTGCTGTATGCGAGGGTTTGCAGCATAGGATATCTGTATTGAGTATTGAGGGAAGGTAGACCCTATTGAAAAATTAAATGGATGTCAAATGCATTTTGGCCTAAGTATATATACTACACAAATACATTTACATATTTATGTACTTAATATAAATACCCTTCAATTGCAGTTTCACTATATTAAATTGATTTACACTCACCTAAAGGATTATTAGGAACACCATACTAATACTGTGTTTGACAATACTAAAGTGTGCCAAGAAAACATCCCCCACACCCTTAAACCACCACCACCAGCCTGCACAGTGGTAACAAGGCATGATGGATCCATGTTCTCATTCTGTTTAGTCAAATTCTGACTCCACCATCTGAACGTCTCAACAGAAATTGAGACTCCAAATAAAACTGAATTATAATTTTTATATATTAGTAAATCTCAATTGATATGTAAATATGTAAATGGATTTGTACTGTACTTAGTATGAAATATATGTATTTTAAATACATTTTGGTATAGGTTTTGTTTTCACTAGGGGTGTGCTACCTATACGATTTTTTACTCCAGTAACACCAGAATATATTAAAAAAAATATTGAAATCTGTCTAGGGTAATTAATTTTGGAACTAACCTGGAGAAAGATAAAGGGTGACAATTTCTTAACCAGACAATTGTGAAAGAAACAGTCTACACATTTATATAACTCATTTATATTTTTTCATCATAGACATAAAATACATGTGTGTTTGAATACAATATCCTTATTCCTTACAGTATGTTACAAGGTTCTTTTAAAGGCATCCAGTGGTATCTTTCTTCATTAAATGATAGTAATACATTATAATTGCTTTTATTTATAGGCACCTTTCAAGGCACTTAATGACATTGTGCAGCATTAAAGCAAATCAGTAAAATACAAAGCTATGCAAAAATACAGACATACTGATGAAACATACAATCAAACAAGTCAAACAATCAAGTCACTTAAAGCTATTCTAAACAGATAAAGTTTTAATCTGAGCTTTAAAGAGGGAAATAGAATCCAGCTGTCGAATGTGTAAAGAATTCCATAATTTTGCCGCTCCACAACTAGCCCTGAACGAACCTTGAAATTTGGAACTGTCAATAAATCTGTTGAAGATGATCTCAAAGAACGTGAAGGAATAGACAATTGAAGAAGATCTGAGAGATTAAGAAAATAAATTAAAAGTGCTTTTGAAATAACAATTTCTTCTTTTTGAAAAATAAATAAAAATGGATAACTGCTAATAGTGAAACCACATTAACTTGTATTGCAAGAGACCATATCAAAAAGTACAACATAAAGATTACTGAAGCAACTTAGAATAGCAATGCACTCCATTTGTAAAGGTGAATATACTGCATGCTTTAACCTTGACTTTTTTTTCTATAAGCTTTACACGTATGTTTGCATTTCAGACAGCTGCAGGATCTTGAGAGGGTGAAGAATAGTGAGGTTGAAGAGCTGCTGGCTCGTGTAAATGCACTGGAGGGGGAGAAAAAGACTCTGCTGCTAGACAAAATCAACCTTAACACAGATATCAAACACTTGGAAACAGAGCTACAGCTTTCACAGCAAGCTAACAGGTGGACACATGCACATACAAATGCAAACAAGCAGAAGACATTTTTTTAAATCTGCAGATTACTTTCTTGCGTTTGTGTCTCTCTCACTCTCTATGGTGTGTATGTGGGTGAAGTGTGTATGGAAAAGACTCATTTTTGCAATATTCTCAAAGCCTTGTGTGCTCAGTCAAGGCCAGGGTGTTTATTCTGGGTAATGTTGGGTGGATGGATTAAGATCAGCTAACAAAGATTTGATACCAAAACTCTGCAGATTTGGAATGAGATGCACTCTCTGGCCTTTGTCAGTATTGGGGGGAAAACTGCTCACGAAAACATTATGAAACATTACATGAGATTTGATGTTTTTAAACTTCAAGAGCATGTTTAGCTGGGAGCAGGCAGATCCGGATGAGTAATAGGCCATAAAAGCTGAGACATATTATTTTGGCCAGAGGGCTGTAGAAACAGAAGGAGAAGGCAAGGCAAGCCAAAGTTTATTTATATAGCACATTTCATACACAATGGCAATTCAAAGTGCTTTACATGGAAGAAATTAAAATAATCAGAATAATTAAAACAGTTTAGAATAAAAAAATAAGAAATAATGAAAAATAAAAATTATGATAAAAGTAAAATACAGTAAATTAAAACCATTTAGAATAAAATGAAGTACAGTAACAGTCGGACGAACTGACAGGAACAGACAGGAAGTGTAATAGCAGCAGCTGTGTTAGAGGAAAGATGAGAAATAAACTCTAAATCAAGCAAAATAAGAATTGCTTGCTGAAACATTTAGACCACTCAGTTGGCAGTTTATAAAGGCAAGGATAAGGAATACATTTAAATGGCAGAAATTAATGAGAGACCTTGCAGGGGAGGAGAGGATGTGAATGTGCAGTGATCATTATAATAATTACCCCTTCCTTTTTTAACAAATTGTGACATGAAACATTTTTAGTTTTGGTTATACACTTCTGTTCAAAGGTTTGGGATCCTTAAGATTTTTTTATGTTTTTAAAGTATTTAATGATCACCAAGGCTGGAGTTAAACATTAATATTGTGAAATATTGTTCCAAATTAAAATGATTTTTTTTTTATGTTTAAAATGTAATTATTTCTGAAAATTGCAAACATGAAAATTCAGCAGCCATTAAGGCCATTGCACACTGAGTACGAAATTTTCGTGCGTTTTTTCGTGTTCGTCAGCCTTAAAATTCGTCACGCACAGAAACCTTGCACGCTGAGTCCGATGCGTATTTATTAAACCAATTGCGGGAAAAAACGCAAAAATACAAAATGAATTCGTCAAGCAGTGAGGATGATTTTGTTGTCCTCTCGAGAAGAAAGAGAAAATATTGCGTCCGTCCAATCCTGAAATTGCGCCGAGAGGAAGCACCTCCTTATCAATGAGTTACGAATTTATGCCGAGCGATTCAAAATTGACCTCAGAATGTCAGTGGGACAGTTTGATGCTTTGCTTGCGATTCTGAAGCCACATTTTAAAAACAAGACCACCAATTTCCGTGAACCAATCGATCCTGAACAGAGACTGTCAGTATGTCTAAGGTATGGACACACAGACACACACACACACACACACAGTGCGCGCTGTGTGTGTCTGTGTACATACATAAGGTATGTACATAGACACACACACACATTGCGCGCACGTGTGGAAGCACTGGGCAGGTGCGCCCGGTGGAAGCGCTGGGCAGACAGAAGCTGTATAGGCTACAGGTTATATATTGTACCCAAATAATACATTAGTTATCGAATTGGCTGCTCAATTTCAAAAATTTCGGATGCGAATTTCGGACTCAGTGTGCAATGGCCTTTACTCTAATCATTCTAATATGATGTTTTGCTGTTCAAGAAACATTATGTTAGTGTTGAAAATGATTATGCTCCTTAATATTTTTGTGGAAACTGCAATTTTCTTTTTCAGGATTTTTTTTTAGAATAGCAAGTTCAAAAGAACTGCAGGTCAGTAAAGCTGGTTTGGCTAAGAAGCTGTTGGAGTGTAAAGTTTTATTAACCTTTATATTAATCTTTGCAAATCGCGGGAAAAAGTTTTTCATGATATTAGTTGTAACGTCAATCTGTCAATGAACGTATAACTGTTATATCAGTAATGTTAAACACACAGCATTCGTATCTCACTACTCTACCCTGCCAGTACATACAAAGATAGATCAAAGTGACATTACGTTAACCAACCATTCAGAAACGTCCTGTTCGAGCCTTAATTGTCGAACTTCTTTGCGGCCGTCATCTTGTTTCGAGTGCGACTCCAGTTCAAACTGATGCGATTGCACAGATGTGTCCTCAGAGACTCCCACTACCATTCGCTCTCATATACCCTCAACTGTTGTCAAGGCAACACTTCACGTGCACTGTGACTAAACGCCCGCAGAACAGAGGGGTGGGGTTTATTATTTAAAGGCATATGCACTGAAACAGCGTGCTAAAAAACAGAGCTGATTTTGACCAGGTAAAATTTGTGTTTTCTAAAAATACTAATGAGAATTTTTCATAAAAGTATATTACAAAGTTTTAAATTTAGACCCTAAACATTTATATTAACTTCGAAAAAATCGCATTATATGACCCCTTTAAAAGTTGATTGTTACGTGACTGCACATTAAATTATTACTCTCACACATCAATGTATAGGTATGTCGACGAATTATCGACAAACGATACTCTTCCTCTTCTCCGTGGGAGCTCAACAAGACCACGCCCCCTTTTTGTGTATTCCTGTGGGTGGAGATTAGTCAAAAACTGTTCTAATTACATCATTAAAAAAGGAAGTAGAGGGATGTAGTCCAAACCGGACGTTCGCTGTAGGCTTTGAAAGGGGACTTCTATTAAATAAAATATCTTGCTAAGCATTGAACTTTGAACTTTATAATTTTGCAGGTATTATTTATGCTCATTACACACTAACTAAAGATTGAAAAATGGAATTGCAAAGAATGGGACCTTTAAACTTTCATAATTGCTGACTTAAGGCTTTTAATTCAGATTTTCTTTCATGTCTCATCCTCTTACCCTCTCCCCCTCCTTAGGAAGGCACAGAGACGTACAAGTGTCCTGAAGCAACAGGTTGAAGACTCTCTAGAGAAAGAGCTCATCGCTCATCAGTACCTTGCCAATATTGTCACACTGGCAGAGAAAACCAGCCATGAAAGGGACCAGCTCATGCACTTGGTACTTCTACAGAAACTCACACACATGCTGCTATCTATTTACATCACCATATGTTTTGATCTCTCGTTCTTGTTTGTTCTGATCTATGCTCCCCATTGGCAGCTCAATCAAACAAAAAATTTCTTCACCAGTCTTGACATCTTAGGAATTGTACAAAAAGATTGTGCTAACAAAGTAAATAAGGTCAATTCTGATTTCATGATGACTATAATGACTGTATACATGACAGGATGTAGTGACAGACAGGAGATCAGGTTGGAAAAGCATGCAAGTATGAATTAAGTGTGACCCAATTCCACCAGTTCACACTATCTCACGTCACAAAAATGCACCACTTCTCATAGTTTGTTAACATACAAAGCATGTTTTAGCCAAGGGCACACTGTATTTCCTGAATTCATCTGCCTTGGAAGTTTACATTCAAATCCCGTGTCGAATCTTTCCACAGCAGTTTTTGTGTTTACGGCAGAGCCTCAAGCGAAGGGATACTGAAAGTGTTATACTCCTCTTTTTACTGACAGGGAGCCTCACTGCTGCTTGGGGAAATGTTTCTTCTCAACAGAATGTTATTACTCAAAAGTCTAGTCAAACTTATCAAGATTTGCTCTGCTGCTTTTGCTTTGCTATTGTCACACTTTTATCAAAGTAACTCACTCTCTCTCTCTCTCTCTTTCCCGGCTCTTGCCCCTGAAACTTCTCTTCAATGATTTCTATCTTCAATGTCCCTCCTCTTCCTCTGTCTGCCTCCCTGTAGTTGTGTAACCCTCCCTGTTCCCTCTTTTCATCCTCAGGCTTCATCTCTAGAGAAAGACAAGGAGGGTGTCCTCACACGTATCATAGAAAGCACCGTCAGCCTGGGAAAGCTGCAGGAAAAAGTAAAGGTGAGGCCTGCAATTTACATACTGCAAGTGAAGTGAATTTGCCTTGCTTGAAAGGCGTTGTGTCCTTAAAATGAGCTTCAGATTCTGGATAGATATTAGAGTTGTTCTCAACCAGGGGGCTTCATGAGACATCCAAGGAGGCCTTAAAATATTTCTTATTTTAATTAACTTACTCAACAACTGTTTTTTTTTTCTTTCTTTTTCTTCAGTGAATCAGAGATCCTACTGTTTGAAAAACATGGATATAAGACAGCTTAATTTTAAAAATGTGATTCATTGACCTGGAAAAGTCATGCAAATTAATACAATTTTATAACTCCATGGGCATTTGTATAATGAATATATTTTTGTTCTAATTATAGCAAGCTTTAACATATCTTAAAGATTATGAAAAAATATATATTATTCAAATCCTTATCCTCAATCCTTATCTATTAATTCACAACTTTTAAAATCATGGGGCCATTGAATTTCTTTGTGGATAATGGAGTTTTATAGGTTTCACAAACACAAGCAGACATACAGTACACTCGCACACCAAGGTTGAGAGGGCCAGGAGTTAGTTTTAGCGTTGATGGCTTTGCCTTTACACACTTATAAAACATTCAACACAGAGACAGTTTGACATATCCAATAAGAGGTCAATCCAGACACACACAAGCCCCCCACACTCAGCAGGTCTATAATTAACATTTTAAATGGAGTGTTATTTTAGTTGCAGAGTGAATGTTTCTCCCTCTCTTTTAACTGCGCTTCAGTTCAGATGTTGCCTGTATCGGTGTGGATGGAGTAGTTGAACGGCTCTGAATTAAAGTGTTAGTCTATGTTTTTCTTATTTCCCTTGAGTGAGATCCACTCCCTGTTTAATTTTGCGGCGATGGACAATATAGTTCAAAATTTTTATTTTTCAGCTATAAGCCAGAGGTGAATTTATGCTTTACACATGTGGATAGTGCCTCTGATGTATGAGCTGTACACAAAGAAATGTGAGCAGAGAGTGCTGTGTGGTTATTGGCAGCAGTATTAATAAGCAGATAAATATTTAATTTCATACATTAACACAGTCGACAAGAGGTTGTCTAGAACTTTGTGAATAACTGGCATACATCTGTGCAGCTTTTTCAACTTATTTAAGTCCAAAATTTTCATATAGGTTTTTTTCATACTCGTCATTCGGTGGCTCTGACTCAAAATGCTTGCTACGGAACCCCAGTCCAATTTTTTTGTTTTATGACGGACAAATTTTGGAGGCAGTGTGTAAACGTGATTGACAACTTGAGGTCGTATTTCTTTTTTAACGTGTGAAAATTTCAGATGAGAATTGTGCAAGGACCTTTAAAAGTTATGCACACATGGTTTCTGTCTGGGTCTGGCTATACAGTATAATTTACTGCCACATTAAAGCTGTTTATGTATGCCATTGATTTATGAGAATGCATGTGAATATTCTGTAAAGCATTTTTCACTGGCAGCAAGTGGTGTGGCAAAACAAAGTTGCTCCCATTGTAATGGACAAAGCTGTTTACCTTGAACATTGCATTGTAATAGTTTTGTTGTGTCAAGCTTCACTGTTCACTTCCAGTGTAGACGCAATGTAACACTCCAGCAGTCGGGAAGGAAACTGTGTGTGTGACCTCTGCATTCTAAATCAGAAAATGAATGAAAGTATTTTTCTTCTGCAACTGAATGCCTGTCCGCCTGTGCTTGATTGTTTGGGGACTGTTATTAGTTTTAAAGTCACTGTGCAGTCCACTGAGCTGTGATATTGCATGGATTAGATTATTTTCTTTACCACTGGCTGGTCTTATCACAGATGAACAGAATGACAGTCCTTATATCTCTCCTGAAGTGCTCTGTTTTTCCCTCTCTTTCATATTTTCATATTCTCATGTTTTCGTTATCTTTTCCAGAATCTATAATATGATATAATGACTGTTTGCATGACAATATTAATTGATAAAAATTCATATATATGTTTGTATATTTCTGCACAGCGTTCTCCCTTAGCAAAGTCGTGAGAGCCGTGTGCTACAAAATTTCCTGAAGCCTCTCAGGGTGTCAGGGTGTGCTGTTTTAATTAGAAAATTTACTAAATATCAAAAGACTTTCTCTCACATGTGTACTGTATGCACTTGTTCTCTGGGTCAATTCAACGATAAGTAAGTTTAGCGGGTGCTTGGGGCCCAAGGCCCCAACAAATACACAGAAGTCTATATATATCTTTTTTTTTTTTTTTTGATCTTATTTTTTATGGTCAGACTTAGGATATCACTATTAGTGTTTAACATTATTACATTGTGCGAATTTACAATGAATCCCAGCGTCTCAGGTTCACTCCCTTGGTGCCATCAACTCGATAAATAAATAATGAAACACAGCTACCCCAGCAAAGCAGAAAAAGGGAGGAAACATTAAGAGACAAAAAGGAATTTGGCCAAACTTTTCAGAGCCTCTTCTTCTTTTTTCACACAAACTCCACAGCTATTAGCCAACACAGTCACACTGAAGCTGCCTCTGTCCCGCCAGACACAGGGATAAGTTTCATCTCTCTCTCGGTTCTGGAAAATGACAATGTGCTGGTGAGTGTAGGACTTGCACTTAACTGTCACCGTCCCACAGGTGGGACGTTTGCCACTATATTTTTAAAACAATAATATCTTAGTAAATACCTTAAATAATATTGACAAACTATATATCATTTGAAAGCTTACAATCTCTAGTTTCCATATTTGGTGACTGATTTTCAAAATATATTACAGAGGAGCCATAATTTATCAATATAAAACAAGAATATTTTAATACTCATAAGGCGTGTTCAGACCTTTATTTTAAAATAGCAGTAAACATGAAAAATCATGAAAAAATGGTAGATACCTCAGTTTGTTTTCATGCCAAAAGTTCAAAAGATAGAATCCATTCAATTATTTTGGAAAAAAAAGGTCTGAAAAGTTTGAAATATCAAGAAAAAAATAATAAATTGACCATTTGTGACGTGGCAGCTAGCTATGACTTACATGCGTGTTCTTTGTATGTGTTTCTTAGAGGTTCAATTCATATCAAAATCTGCCAAACTTCCCATGCTACTTCTGAATAGGATCTCTACTTCAGAAAGTGTTTAAAAATTGTGAAAATAATGGTTCATATCACTCAAAACAGGAATGGAAATGCAGGCGCCCTTATATGGGCAGTAATGGAGTCTGATTGTGCCCTAGTGAAAAAGTTTGGTACTGCGCTCAAACAAAATCTTACTGAAAGCTCATTTTTTGAGATATCAACCTAAAATTTGAAACACAACTTGTTCAGATTTTTGGCTTTGATCTTTCTGCCATTTTAGAGTAGCCCAGGTTTTGAAAATATATATTTTATGTAAAATATGAATAATTAATATTTTTACATTGTACATTTCCATAAACTCAAACTTCTATAACTTTTTTTCTGTTTCACTTTCTTAATTTATTTCACTTCTACAAAAATCTGCCAAATGTCTTCTTTAAAACAAGACCAATCATATGTCTATATTCCAAAGCATTCTTGAATTACAACCATTTAAGTTCGAAATTTGCATTTTCATGTCTATTCAAAAAAGGGGGGGGTGACAGTTAACAGGTTAAGGGCCCCCAAACCTCTAAATCTGCCTATGTTTTCTACAGTTAACATGATTTAATAGAAACCTTTGTGGACCTTACAGGAATAGTTTTTCAAAACAATTATTCACTCACCCTTATTTTGTTCCAAATCTATGTTGGTGGAACACAAAATTAGTCAATTGTTAGGACTTTTGCTGCTCGCTCTGTTCTATAGAAAATTAACAATGAATGAAAAAAGCTCCAAAAAAGTGGCCAATTGTAAAAGTAGGTCTTTTCAGCGAGTCATTTGATTATGTTTGCAGAACTGTTTTGAATGATTAAAACACAAATCCAGACCTCATCCAGTTGACTCTCTGAGCCCTATCTTGCACCCAGCGCAAATGACTTCATACACTAATGCACTTATCATTTCTATTTTGCACCCGCGCAAAGCGGGTTTTTCCCTCCACAGATGGGATTTATTTTAAACTAGGACATGAACTTGCACTCCCTGGGTGGGTCGGCACAAAAAGGAGGCTTGTTTCGGCGCAAACATTCCCTTTGTGCTATTTTGCAGTTCCAGAAAACAATTCTGCTACTGACCAGAAAAAACCTAGTCTAAAGTCAGTGCACGTTGTTCATAATGCTATTTTAAGCGCGCTTGCTTGGCCATAATATAGTGGGTGCACAATATGCATACACTTTGATTCTCTCATCAACACAGATGCAGCAGTTTTTATTTTTGCAAATCAGACATTATAACAAGGAAAAAATGAGGGAAGTCATTGTGGTATCCATGAAGATGTAAAAAATGTAGGCCTAAATCTAGCTAATTGTAAAATCTGGCTAATTGTAGTAATGACAGATCAGACTTGTTTACCCAAGTGGCAAGACACATCAGTGTCATATCAGTGAATAACAATATATTTCAATCCGTTCACTACAAAAAGCTATTTTACGGCTTCAGTTGACTTGGATTATTATGCCCTTTTTCATTTATCAAAAACAAGTATGGGCTACTTTTATGAAATTTTTATGGTGTCTTTGAAGCTTGAAAGCCTCAGTCCCCATGGAGAGAATGGAAGAGAATAACCAGTACAATTCACCTTTTGTGTTTCATTACAGAAATACAATCACACAGGTTTGGAATGACATGAGAGTGAGTAAATAATGACAGAAATTTAAATTTCTGAGTGAATTATCTCTTTAATAATTCAGTGGATGGTTTTTCGGACCCCCATGACCCCTAGTTTTTTGTTTTTATTTCCTCAGCCACTTTCTCTGTCCCTTGCACCATTTTTCTTTCCACCCTGTTGTGTTCACTTCCTACTTTCTTCCATCTCTCTCTCTCTCTCTCTCTCTCTCTCTCTCTCTCTCTCTCTCTCTCTCTCTCTCTCTCTCTCTTTATATCTCTCTCTTTATCTCTCCTCCACT